TCGTTTTTCGAGAGTCGAATCGTATCGAAAATTTCACGTCCTTGCCTAATGTTTACACTCGACAAGTTTTTTACTTATTTACTTATTTCAGCACGACACTAGACAATGCCAATGTTGTCGGGTCGTACAATTTAGCCTAATTTACGACTTACGCAATGAGGCTGAATACTAAACATTTCTAGCCAGTTTCACGAATGAAGTATAATTGAAAACCCATTTTTTATTTAAATTTAATATGGAAACTGACAGAAAAAAATTGAAACCGGCATTTAATAAACGGAAGGCAAATAGCCAAGGAATGCTAAAATTTTCTCTTCCCTATTTATATTTTTACTACTGTATACGCATAATACTTTTCTGTTGTATAAGTTATCATTTATTTAGCTTGCACTTTGCTCGCTACTTTCTTAGTAACTAAACAAAATGCATATTTTATTGTAAATAGATGAAATTTTCTGGGTGAAAAATTTATTTGCAATATCTATCCGCTTTCATTTTGCTACGCCGATCCAATAAAGCTTCATGTAAAGTGCCCTGATCCTTTGCAACTTCGAGTTCTTTAATATCGTTTTTGTTAATGCGTAACTTCTTATCCTGGAACTTTTGAAATTTTTTCCTGTAATATACAGAAAACAATTACACTTAAGCATTAACAACACAAATGCAAAATATGTTGGTATAATTTTACGAAAACCGCCAAAACGTACACATAATTTTTTTCTACTTCGGTTAAATCTCCCTTTTCTTCCTTCGGTTCCTCATCCTCTTCAGCTTCGCGCTGTGCATTGCATCGTATTTTACAAATTTCGTGCTCAGTTACTTTTTTACGTAGTGCTACACAAGCGTCATCTTCCGGATCTATTGACATAAAAAATCCTGTTTCCGAGAGTAGCGCCATTTTTCCATCCTGCAGAGAAAAGTTTTGTAATGCAACCAATCTATTGAGGGATTCACAATAGTGTCGTAACTTTCGTATTGTTGTATGTCGTAAGCTTTAAAAGCTAAATAAATGTTTAGAGAACTTGAAACGACAAACAACTATTTTTAACACTGCAAAATTCCATAATATGACTTTAAAAGTACTTTGCGAACCCCCTCAAGATATCTTTTAGGCGTCTAAAATTTACGACATACAACAATACGACACTTATCGACACCGTTGTGAATACCCATATATATAGCATTTTCAGTTTAAATGAAACTTTTTTCAAATTAAATGAAACCTTTTTCAGGTTAAGCGAAACCTTTTTCAAATTAATTGAAACCTTTTTCAGATGATGCGAAACCTTTTTCAAATTAAATGAAGCCTTTTTCGGATTCAATGAAACTTTATTCAAATTAAATGAAACTTTTCAGATTCACTGAAACTTTATTCAAACCAAATGAAACTTTTTTGAAATTAAATGAAACTTTATTCAAATTAAGTATTAAACATTTTTAAATTAAGGAACATGAAATCAGCATTACATACGTGNGTTAATTCCAAAGATGTTTACGAATCAATTAGTTGATCCGGATCAACGCCGCCATCCGCCTATGTTTGAAGACACTTTAATTTGTGCCGTTAGTGCAGAGGACCATCGATATATAGTAAATATATTTTAATGCTGCATTTTCTTCTAATATTGGTTGACTCAAGTAAGTTTTAAAATCTAAAACTTGAAGTCCTGATTTGAATGGGAAAGACTTTTAGCGCATTAAAAGCTGTTGAATAATTACATTCTGTTGCCAGTGCAAAGAGTGAGATTATTGTTAGAATTTTATTACCTTCAACTTTAATGAACTTAACTATAGTTGTTATTCATAATATCATTTCATTTCAGTGGCGTTGCCCAACGGCAACCCAACTGCGATTGCGTTTCCATTTATAATCGACCCATTAATATCTGGAATAGGAATTGTATACCTTTTTCCCAAGTTTAGACTTGGTACCTAGTAATCCGTGCCTGGTGCGTCAATGCCAATTTTCCGGTTACAAAATCAACGTTGACGTTAAGAAAAGAATTGTAAGAGGGCTTCCGTTGCTTTCTTAACTCACTCTTGTACATTCTGTGTCCATCCTTTTCTGGCTTTGGTTATGCAATAAATAATTCAAAAACTTCGTATGCATTTTCTATTGTTTTTTTTTCACGAGAATATGTTTGTGATCAGCTGATTTTTTGAAGCTNTAGGAATTGTATACCTTTTTCCCAAGTTTAGACTTGGTACCTAGTAATCCATGCCTGGTGCGTCAATGCCAATTTTCCGGTTACAAAATCAACGGTGACGTTAAGAATATAATTGTAAAGGCCCGTTTACATACAACTTTGGCGTTGCGTTGGCGTTGGCGTTGGTTTGACAGAACGCACGTTAAAAGTATGCTTGCTACAATGAACGCTTGGCGGCGAATCCTTGGGCCACTAAATTAACATATTAACGACAGATAAATTAATATTTCATATCAATAATTGCATTAAAAACGATATTTCTTGCCCGCACTTGATTAAAAAGGAAAAATATTTCACATAATTTTATTTATTCGCAACAGCTGACGAGCGACGCACGCGAAAAGTTGAGAGTTGGCCATCTTTTTGCTTTGTGTTGGCGTGAGCGTTGTCGAATTTTGGCTATGTGGACGGCTGCATTTGAATTCATGTATTCATAGTCAGCTGTTGAAGCGACGCCAACGCCAACGCAACGCCAAAGTTCTATGTAAACGGGCCTTAAGAGGGCTTCCGTTGCTTTCTTAACTCGCTCTTTTACATTCTGTGTCCATCCTTTTCTGGCTTTGGTTATGCAATAAATAATTCAAAAACGTCGTACGTATTTTCTATTGTTTTTTCACGAGAATATATGTTTGTGATCAGCTGATTTTTTGAAGCGTCCCTTTAAAATGAATTATTATTTGCTCTCTCAATTTTTCTTACTTTACGAGTTTTTCAGGAACAAGAACCCACTAACGCGATAGTTTGCAACAACTTTAAATAATTTGTAGTGCAGAAACACTGCTATTATTTCTCTGATTAAATACAACTGTAACAAAAACAACTAATCGAAAAACACAACAAATAATAAGTAGTGTAGGAGAAAAGTTAAAACTTTAAATACATTAGCTACCTTATGATGCAAATGAGGCGTATTTTTAATTAAGTGAATGCTAAAATTTCTTATTAATGTCACAAAACTTAATGAAAAATGTCTATCAAGTAATTCTACAAAGCAAAGTGCTGCAACAATCCAAATAATGCGATGGTGCGATAATGCGATGATGTTGACGCGATGTGATGATGCGATGTTAAAATGCCAATAGTTCTTTGTTTTGGACATTGAAGGCTGGAGTAAAAATTATTTAATATAATTTAAATCATAAATAACAAAAGAATATATAAGTGTGTATGTATTTATATAGTATTTGTGCGGCAATTCGAAAGTGTTGCCGCAATCTTTCAAAATTGAATGTTTAACAAACGCAGTATAACGATACTGAAAAAAAACCTACATACCCGCCTATATGTACATAAAAATATGTGTCCGTGTACTTAAACCCTCCTGGGTGCTATAGTGTTGAAACGCTTCCGTGACAACCAACGTGACGACGCAACGCATCAGGCAGACGGTGGCGAAAACGTGTCATGCATTGGCTCGATGGCAGCATTTCCCTGGATGAAAATTTAATTAGTGGACGCGTCAGCGGCGGCAGTAACGGTGAAAATAGCGACAGCAATCAAAGTAAAGCATCGTTGAAAGCAAGTAGGTTGCATTACTAGCAGGGGCAGGAGTTCGGGGTGGGGAATGTGTTTCTAGGCACGCATGCTCATGGCTCCTACCCCACACGCGACGAAGGCTTTGAGTTTCAATTTCGATTTCGATTTCAATTACACAATCAGCACATACACACTCACTCACACACAGTCAATTACATATTTACAAAATATTTTGAATCAATACATACATATGTAGATATCTAGACATTTTACATAAACACACATTCATACAATTGCATGTGGTATTTACACTTTAGAGGTATTCTCGATCCGGCGCAGGTAACAAAATTAGCCAATCGTGCTACTTATACTGTCCATGATCATGTTAGGCAGTATGCAACGGATCGAGAATACCCCTATTGTATGTGAACATACGTATGTTTTTTATCTAGAAATTATAGAACTCTCATTTATTAGTGCGTTAATTCTGTAGCTATTAAATGGACTCGATATAATTACGAAAAAAAATTTAAAACTCATTTCCATACAGCATCGAAGAAAATAAAGCGTCAGTTTACAGTTATTTGCTCATTTTTTAAGACACACAGCAAAACACATAAAACCTTAAGTAAATGTGCAAAAGAAGAAAAAAATATATTTTTTCAATCGTGAAAATCCTCAAGATTCGAACCATACCTTACCTAATCAGTTAAAAGTCATTGTATTCCGTTTATCAATATAATGAGGGTATTCATTTATGTTCTTATAATTGTCGAGAGTTTAAATTTCCTCTTTTACATGGGCTGTTGATTGAAGAGGTTTTCATTGAGCCTTTCTTTTACAGTTAACTCGTTTTCCCAACCCCATCTCTTGTGTAGTTTGCGAAATATATAGAAATATTTGATAGAAAATATTTCAAGTTTGCCAGAAAATTTGAAAGCTTTAAGAGCTTGAAGNTCATTTATGTTCTTATAATTGTCGAGAGTTTAAATTTCCTCTTTTACATGCGCTGTTGATTGAAGAGGTTTTCATTGAGCCTTCTTTTACAGTTAACTCGTTTTCCTAACCCCATCTCTTGTGTAGTTTGCGAAATATATAGAAATACTTGATAGAAAATATCTCAAGTTTGCAAGAAAATTTGAAAGCTTTAAGAGCTTGAACCAACTAAAACAGCGTTGCCGCTTTGGTAATTTTTAACCAAAATTGGTAATTTTTTCTTTATTTATCAAGTTTGGTAATTTGGTAATTTATTTTTCAATTTGGTATCTTTTTCGATTCGGTCTTACACGTCAAAAGGTTCTGATTCCACATTAGTAAGTGTCCCGTAAGCGTTTCCTTTTATAGAAATATCAGGTAATCCTAAAAGTTTCGCAAGGTGAAAGTTGTTCCAGCGTTCCTTGGCTACTAGAATGGTTTGATCTTTAACAAACTGCTTGAAAGTGTTATTGCTAAGTATATCCACAGTGCCCTTTCCTGGAAGGTTTTGGGTGGTCCTACCTTTCCCTGTCAGTTCTTCAGCTTTGCAATTACCATCAATTTACCGGTGTACACGCCACCCATATATATGAGTTGAATTCTACGTAAATATGCATGTTCTCNGGTTTGATCTTTAACAAACTGCTTGAAAGTGTTATTGCTAAGTATATCCACAGTGCCCTTTCCTGGAAGGTTTTGGCTGGTCCTACCTTTCCCTGTCAGTTCTTCANGATATATTTTCTTGTCACTTGTCTACATACAGTGGTCGAAAAAATTATAGCCGCACCATATTTTGATAAGTTTTAACATATTACAAAAAAATTACCAAACTTATTTTATGTGCAGAACAAACATACATATAGAGCCCTAACTGCTAAAATAACGAAAGCGACATTTTGAAATTTTTTATTTTTTTTGCAGAAAGGCATCTAGATGCTCTAGGAATATTTCTGTTATTTTGGCGGTTAGGGCTTGATGTGTATGTTTGTACAGTTCTGCACATAAAATAAGTTTGGTAATTTTTTGTTGAATTTGGTAACTTTTTTCGGTGATTTTGGTAAACTATAAAAACATTGTGTGGCAACACTGAACTAAAACCGTTCTTGTTTCATAAGGCCTCAAAAGTTTTAGCTATACTCAGGTGAGCTTGTATTGGATTAGGTAGTAGTAAAAATGGGTCATATGCCTTGTTGTCTAACGGTTTGTATTTATAAAAAATAGTTCAAGAAAATATTAATAATAATAATAATAATAATAATAATAATGTGTAGTCGCCGGTAACGCTCGCGTACAAAGACTTTGTTAAGAAACCGTGTGGCAGGAATCTAAGGCTAAGATATGGCAAAACAATCTCTCTTGTGCCGATATGTTCTCAGCACAGTCAGATGGAGATCTTAATACAATCGTGAGTTATCCATGTTTAACAATTGCAATGCCGAGGACCGACTTTAGTATACTTTATATTAAGTTCAGAAAGAAATTTAATTGAGGCAATTAACCTTTTAATTTAGCTACCGCTTTTTGGTATTCATACCAGGGTTGTTGCGAATATTTTTCCGAAATAAAAGTCCTTTCCGGATAATAAACTAACCACCTGTCCAAATTAAACAAATTTAGTATCATATGAAAGTGTCCTGAAATAGCTTTTAAACAGAAGTAACGAAGGACCTCTATTTATATTTTTTTTTTTATAAATTAATACTAAAGAAATTCATATACCTGACAAAAGGTTTGCTCTATGGTAATTAAATAATTAACATTTTTTATTGAAATATTTTTCAATATGTGGCTTTCCTCGTTTAGAAATTTCAGTTTTGAAGCTATTTAAAAGTGATTTACCTTTTCAAAAACATAGTTTTGTCTCGAACTGCTCGAAAATATACTTCTCATAGCCAAATTTGTTTAATGTGAGTCCAGAAGTTGATATGTTATCGATGGGGAAATATCCTCTTATATCCTTTAATAAGTAGATATATACTTATAAAAACACATATACACTTTTTAGGTAATTTTATTGAATCTTCAGTTAATTATTAAATTAGCGGCCTGTCTGAACATACTTTTAAAACATTCAAAACCCTGGCGGCATTTCGAAAATCTTATATTTATACAAGGGCGGCCGCAAAAGAAGTTTATATTATTAACCCTGATGCTGAGTTGGCTAAAGCGAAACAAACGGATTTGTTTTAGTCTAAGAGCCAACCCACACTAGCGTATAGCCCTTAAAATGAGACATACTGCAACCAGTTCTACAACACAATGCTTCGTTCATCGAAGCCAGAATTTGTGTGAGTAACTAAGTAAGTTGGCTAAACTCCTTTTGCCCTCAGTCCTACTTATTGATAACGCCTAGTTATAAACATACATATGAAGGTATCAAATTTAATTGA